CATGGGCCACAGCAACCACTTATCATCAGGTGGACTGTGTGCTTGTTTGTCACCTTTATTCTATAAAAAAAGACAGTCATATTGCATATAGTGGCGTAGAAAATATTGTACTAATACTAGAAGTAAACGTGAAACGCCCACTCTTCCTATCTATATACGAGAAAATTTCGGGACTCAAGGAAGTGACACAACATTACTATTTAAAAATGTATTTATTGCTTTTCGAAGTATTCTCCGCGAAATTTGACACATTTTTCCATACGATGGTACCAATCATTGAAGCAACCATTCCATTCGGAAGTTGGGGTCTCCAAAATGGCCGTTTTGTAGGCGTGTCCACAGCTACTTCAGGGGATGAAAATCTCTGTCCACGCAATTTATTCTTTATTTTAGGGAAAGTATAGAAATCATTATGGCTTAGGTCGGGGCTGTACGTCGGATGGTCTAATAATTCTATGTTTTCTTGCTCTAAAAACTCTTTTGTTCTGTGTGCGGTGTGAGAACTCGCATTGTCGTGATGGAGGATGATGCGGCGGTTGCAGTTCTCTTTACGGAGTACAGAAACGACCTGTGGCAAACAAATGCTAGCATACCATTCTGAATTAACCGTTCTTTGTCCCTCAAGAGGAATAGTCGTAACATGGCCGGTTTTGGAGACAAACGTGGCCACCATTTTTTTTGCAACACTCCGTGAACGAACAATTTTTTTTGTTTTGGCTTTTTGCTCTTCACAGAGCGAATGCGGTATCCATCGGGAAAACAACTTTTTTACACCTAATTGTTCATGCAAGATTATTTGTATTTGACTCATGCCAATGTCTAAAGTTGTCTGAATTTCACGGTATATCACATGTCGATCTTCCTCAATCAGCTTACGCACAGCATCAACGTTTTCTTGGGTGACTGCAGTTTTTGGACGACCTTGACGGGGATCATCACTGAGCTTGACACGTCCACGTTGAAATTCAGTAAATCAGCGATAAATTGTGGTTTTGGATGGGGCTTCATCACCAAATGCAGAAATCATCTGGTCAATACACTGTTTTTGTGTTAAACCACTTTGAAAGTCATAATAATCATCGCTCTTGAATTTTCTCGAGTCACTTCCATTTTCTCAACGACTAAACAAGTTTGACAAAACCTTGTGATAAGACCGAGAATCTTTTTTTAAATAAATAAATGGTATTCGATTTTTAAAACCAAGGACTTTTCAATTAAAAAGATTTTAATATGACAGGAACAGTGGAAATATTCTATTCCCGATACCTTTAGTGCAGCCTATGTAATACACACAATGATGTCACTTTTATGGAATAACGTATTTTTCCGTCCATGTTCGAATTTATCCAGAGATAAATTTTATGCAAAAACTTTTCATTTAAGGTGATAGGTTTCTGCCAAGGTGTCCTTCTAGGTACGTATGACCCTCTTATCTATTTCTGCTGCCAAACACTAGTACGTGCACTGGTATGTTTCGGTCTGAATAGTACAGACCCAGTATAACTACAGGTTGTGAGGCACTCTATTATAGTTCTCAAAGGTGATAACGCGTCTATAGCCCTTTTGTTTTAAGTTGGCTGCAGGTGCACATGAACTGCAGTCACTCCAAGTGGGCTTTCCTAGCCCACTCCGGATGTGTGTTGGTGGACTGTGGCGGGAAGAGAGTCCTCACCCTTTTCCGTCGCAGCCGAGGTGAAGTCGAGGAGAAGAGGAGTGTAGTATGACGATGCGCTACTCTTCCTATCCTCCGCGAATCTGGCGGGGCCGCACCGTTGATGCTGTGATAGGCGGGCCATATGGGGAGAGTAAGGTCGGAATAGCGCGGCCGACAGCCGGTTGACGCCAGAGCTACAGACTAGAGGTTGGGGTTAGGAAAGCTGGTGCTTCCAAGTGCTCGCTTTTTCCTGGCCTCTTGGCGTGTCAGGTTCGGGGACTTTACGTTCGCCTAATAGTGATGGTAAACTCTCAAGCGCAAGCGGGAGCGGATCGTTTCCTGACCTACGAACAATTAGTACATCGGAAGAAAATTCTTCTAGTATAACTATGCTGCGGAAAAGAAAACATCGAGAACCCCACTTTAACATTAAAGAAGAACTTAATGAATTTAAAAATGAAATCATGTCTTTCTACAGAATAGTATGAAAATGCAAGAGGAAAACTCAAAGAAATTATCACAAAGTCTAATAGAAATCAGAGATGAAATAAAAAGTATAAAACATAATATAGAAATAATTACATCCGAACAAAATATTTTGAAAACTGAAATGAAAAATATAAAATCACAAAATGTCAGTATTGAAAAGAAAATTAAATTATTGGAAGAGGATATTTTGCAATATAAAATATTAAAAACGCCAACTCTCACTTATGAAAACCTCATATTGGAATTTCAAAATCGTTCGCAGCGCGAACGAAACATAATAATTCTCGCAGTACCCGAAAAAAAAAATTAAAAGCAGAATAGAATATGATAATAGCGAAGCTAGGAATATTTTAAAACACACCTATCCCGAATGTGTCAGTGTAAATATGTATCGCATATTTAAAATTGAGAAGGTTCTTAGAACATAAATTTTATAGCAGTTATCTTATTATAAAGTTCCACAAAAACTCAAAAAATCTAATAAATATAATGTAATATGTTGTATATTTGTACTTTCTCTGAAGAATTAACGTTCCCGGTCACTCCAGCATCCAGCTATACGTTAACTACTGATACAATGATATACTGTTACCTATAGTTAAACGTATGACTAATAATTGAAAGCGACAGTGGTTCGTCCATATGTACATGAAACACGTATCTAATACGGGAATACCTGGTCACGCTGCTTCTATGTAGGACGTCGATTATCGAGAAAAGGTTAACATTATTATAGATGGGTTAACTTGATGGGAAATTTGCAAGCTTTCTTAACTATTATTATCTCTTTAATGAAATTGTAGTTGGAATAACTTTTTAAATCTTGAAAAGGCCTTCATGAGTAAATTATTTTAATAATTTTTTATACCTTAGTAATGATATCGTTTAGATTGGGCTATGGCTTTATAACTAATACTCAGAATGGAGTATATAGTAAATGCTGTTCTTACCACTTGTTTTACTGACCATAATACTAAAGCGGAACCTTGTTTCGAATCACAGCTGGAGTCAATATTTTTAAAGATTGTTATCTTTGTCCCTCTATCTTTACCAGTGTATTACAATCTCCCTATGATCTCACTGTTACATTGTGTAATAAAAGTATAAATATTAATAATAAACAAAAAGGTAATAATAAATTTTTTCTGTTTAACTTATTCATTATTTATTTTATCAGCTTGATTTACACTTTTATTAGTTAAAAAAAATTGCAGTTTTTTAACGAGTTGTTACAGCCTATATACGTCCCACTGCTGGGCACAGGCCTCCCCTCATTTCTGAAAGGGTTTTTAGGGCAAGAAGATGTCCGCCGCGCTGCCCCAATGCGTGTTGGCGAACTTCACATGTCTCCGAATTTTTTTTCTTATTTCTCAGACGTGCAGGTTTCCTCACGATGTTTTCCTTCACCGCCAAGCACGTGGTAAATCAACACTTAAAATTGCAATTAACAATTTCATTGGTGCCGGCGGGGATTGAACCCGGGTTGCTCGTGTACTGTGAAATTTATAGCGAGCGCTAACCATCTGAGCTACCACGGCTTTTCAATCAAAGTTTTTTATAGACCGGGGGGCAAATGAGGATGCGACTCACCTATGGCAAGTGACTACAGCCTCCCGTGAATATCTGCAACACCAGGGCAATTGCAGGTTTGCTGCCGGCTTTAAAAAAAGGAGTAGGCTCTTTATACGTGGCAGATCCAGTCTGCAGTTGTATTATGGCTTCATCAAGAATGGGTTTGATTAAGGAAGAATCACGCTCACACTCTTTTTAACAAAAAAAAAAGCAATTTTACAGGCATTCTATTTAATCTTCAGGGGTGAGAACGCTTCCTAATTACTTTAACTTTTAAGTGGTTTTACTGTAACTCATAGGTGATACTTAAATCTATGGGTAGTGTTAGTAAAAAAGTTTTCTGTTTCTCACTCATTCAGCATATGAAACACAGCAACTTTATGCTGCTATTTTCACGCTGGTATTCTGTGCAAGCCTGCTTCTTATTCAGTCAAGCAAACTCATTCTTTTTGCAGCCATAGTATAGCTCCAGAGTAACTCTACCACGTCTAAAAAACTTTTAAAGGTTCCACTGTCACCTTTGAATGTCAGAATAATCCTAAATTTTGTAGACGTATTAAGAAACGATGAAAATACAACTAGGATTATCATAGATCATCAATGGGTGTTATTTTAGTTTTTTTGTGCTTCAATTAACATTCAATATTCTAATGAATATTAGATTTAATTATTTTTAGATAATAATAATTTGTTTTTAAAAATATTAAAAAATAACTGTACAAATTTAATGAAATCTAATGCTATCATGCAAATAAGAATTAAAAATTGAATTAAAAATTAAAGATCAAAATTAAAAATCCTAAATTATAATTCTTAAGGAGTTTAAATTTATTTAACAAGGAATATTTACTTACGCAGTTTCAACTTAATAATATCCCTAATTTATAAGAAATACTCGCACGTCATAACAATGAGAATAAATAATGTAGAAACAATACAGTACAGTAATATATCGGCTTAAGATTAATATCCAAGTGAGCATGAAACACTGGGATCGTCCGGTATGTATGCACTTCTAAATTGCACACATATGAGGCTCCACGCTTCGTTACCCCCGTATATAAACTAAGCACAAACTAGCCTTGAACTTCATTTCACCACAACTGCAACGCTCAACAACCGTAGACAACAACCCTTGCAAAAATCCCTTTTGAAAAGAAATTATAAAGCCCCACGATTAAAAGTACTATGGTGTGAGATAGTGTTTATGTGGTGATAATATAAAAGTAGCTTTTGTTGTGTTACCAAGTGTTGAATAGTAAATAATATGAAGGTCGTTAAAAAAATGGTAAGTTGATTTTTTTTTAAAATAATTCACTATTATGAATATCAAGGACTGTTTTAATTGCTATTAATTACAAATCATAAAAACACAAAGTTAATAAATAAAGTACTTTGTAACTTAGCAAAGTAAAGTAAATAAAGAACAATATAAAAAACAAAGTAAGTAACTTTGTTTTTTATATTGAAATACATTTAGATACCATACATTGACATTTTTTTCCTCAGAGCATGAACAATGAATAGCAAAATATAAAATGATTACTACCACAACAAAATAAAACCAGAGATAAACAATAATTGTTTGTAATTTTATGTAATGATTCAATAAATGGGTTTATGTTTAAATAAGTCTGAGTAAATACAGTGTACGTTGCCTAAAGTGTATTTGGATATTAAGATGGACAGTATACAATACAAGGTCTAAAACATTTTTTTGGAACAGAAGCAGAACAGAAACAGAAACGTTCTATTCAATATAGATTATAAATGATACTTATTGAAAGTCACTCTTTACTTTAATTACCACTGGTTCGAAAAAAAAAACTTCTGCCCTGGGAAGTACGAGCAAGAAACCCAGCGGGACTTTTTTTTTAATAACAGATTACAATCATGTATGTTACACAATTAACCACACAAAACAAATTAGAAATAGCTTGGTAGCGATCACCTCATTCCCAGGGGTTATTTTTTTTTATAGGATAAGGGTGACAAACGAGCACACAGTCCACCTGATGGTAAATGGTTGCTGCGGCCCATAGACATCTACATCTATCCTCGTTTGCGAATCAAAATGCAGATGCGTTATCACCCGTGAGGACTAAGATGGAATGCCTCATTTCCAATAAAAAGGGCCTCCGGCCACCTGCACTCACCAAGCGAAACGCTAAGGTAAACCTCTACTTCACGCTGGTATTCTGTGAGGTCGCCCCAAGAATGAATTACTGTCTCGGTGGAGTCGAGTAACTGGTACTACTAGCTTGTGTCTGTTCCGAGTATTTACAGAATGAATATCACTTCTTTTTGTATAACTACTTTTATTTTTGTGTACGTTCATTACATTTTCATAAACGTATTGTTACATAATATCCTTATTTTTTGTCGGAGTGACTCTTTAGGTTTTAAATCATAGATTGCTCTTATGGGCCTCTTCTGTAAAAAAAAATATAATTTCAGTGTCAGTCGTGTGTCGCCATATCAAAATACCATACGAATTCATGCTATGGAAATAGCTAAAGTAAAAAAGTCTAGCTGTTTCCACACTGGTAAAATTTCTAATCCTTTTTACAGCATTTAATCTTAGACCTCAAAAGTGGCAATTAAACTGAGGTCTTCATAGTTTGGAGTTAGGAATGAAGGATGCTATGATCATGGGCTGCTGGCACCACATAATACAGGTGTTAATGATGGATCATTTGTCGCGGTTATAGTAAAAAAAATAAAAAACAGTGATATTTGTTTTGTAAATGTTTTGACGGCTCCGTAGCGCAGTGGCTTAGCAATGATTTGCAGCACTGGAGGCTGCAGGTTTGAATCCCGCACGGAACAATTAATAGTTTGGCCTACAAATAATTGTTACGGGTCTAGATGTTTGTCCTGGTGCAGTTTGTGTTTGTAAGCTGCTTTCACGATACAGGAGAAAATCCTAGTTTATATAGTAAGGTTGTATAAAAATAAAAAATTTCAACATTTATCTTAATATTTCTAAGAGGACGGATAAGCGATTTTTTTATAAAATAATTGCACGGATTGACCGTAGATTTTGTTTTCCTAAAAAAATTCCTTATATTAAAAGAACTACAACAAAAAACACTAATACCCATTATAAAAACTATTAAATTATTCTTCATTGTGTATAGTTCATTTCCAAGCACTTTACAGTGTATTTTCATTATACTTTTTTCTATTTATTTATTATGTAAAAATATTTGTTTACAGTAAACTTAAAGAGCATTTTAAATCACTGATGTACGTCCTATACTACAAACAGTCGACTACAAACTATTATGAACTATCAGTCAATTTCGTAAATTGTAACAAAATATAACTACCTACTAAGTTAAACCAAAAATATAACAAAAAAAAAACAAATTGCTGATTAGGAACCAAAATTACATCATAATTTTATGTGATAACCTAATTTTGGAAGGCAAATATTGTTTTCTTTTTATACTTTCCTGTGTATTATTCCTGTGTATATATATTTATCAAATTTTCGGGTTATTCCCAGTTAGTAGAGAAACCAGCCGTTCTCTTGCCACATCTATTGTATTGTTTGCTGGGATCGTATTGAGCCGTTTTCGGGCCATACCTCGGATGTATAATAATAATATTATGTCGTTCAGACCGTATTTTGTTCAGGGCGGCCAGTCACAACGGAGATTAGCTATCTGCGCAGGAAAAATATATGCGCATAGCAGTACACAGAACCAAAGGCTTTATGTGTTTTTTGAGGCACGGGGGTGAAACACCAGGAACTTCCTGACTCGGGACTGCTACGAGTAGTATAGTTTCTTGAGAGAAAAACCCAATAACCGATTTTGATCTGGGAATCGAACCCAGGACTTGATTACTGATTAGTACCATTTGTTGAACCATTACACCAACCTATAAAACCGTTGAGATCGAAATTCGATTTGGAGTACATTATTATTATGGACAGGTAAGATTTCACAGAATTCGAAAATACAGTATTGGTTATTATAGAATGTCTGTATAATTCTGGAGAAACAATAATTTTTAAAATTCAGTTGTAATTAATAAACGTAGGTTCCATAAAATAATATATATAACAGGTCTAACTATCAACAACTAGTGACATCGTCTTCTTCGTTGGTCAGTGAGAGTGAATTAATAGTGTGATAGATGCTAGTAATGTTACACTAAGATGAGTTAGAAAATGTTCATGCTTGGTGGAACACGCATAACGCTCGTCTTGAAAATAAAATCGATATATTTTTAGAAATAAAATGTTGTCAACGTAATTCATTCTGCACTACAATTAAGTGTAATCTTCAATTTTATTGATAGTAAATTTGATACATAATCACAAAATAACGCGAATTTGTAATTTTTAATATAGAAATAATTAAAAATATTTTAGGTATTACTAATAGACATGTAAAAGGATTTCAATAACTTTTTCAATATCAAGAATTTTATTGAAGACTTAGAATAATTAATGTTTAATGTAAACTTTAATAATTTGTTCATGTTACTTAGTAACTTTTTTTATAGAATTAGGATGACAAACGAGTACACAGCCCACCCGATGGTAAGTGGTTGCTGTGACCCATAGACATCCACATATATCCTCAATAAAGAATCAAAATTCAGAAGCGTTGTCACACGTGAGGACTAAGATGGACTGTCTCTTTTCCAGTAAAAAGGGTCTCCGGTTCTCTACACTCACCATACGAAACACAGCAGTGTTAAGCTGCTATTTTACGCTGGAATTCTGTGAGAGCGTGGTCCTTCCCTGGTCGAGCCGACCCATTTGTGCTACAAATATACTAATAATATTGCTGTAACATGGCTCTACCACGTATAGAAACTAAACTAAAAACAAAAAAACTAAAACTCTGATATATATCTTATTTGGTTTTTTAAGTTTTGTGAAAGCCAAGTCAAGCAAACTTAACGTTTCTTAACGTAATATTTTCTGTGAAATGGCGAAAAAATCATTTTAAATATCCTTAATCTGAAATATCAAGGATCACTGTGAGTCAGGTACACATGCCCAAAAATGTTTTAAAATTTGCAGAGCCCAAGATAGTGCTCCAATTATCACTTTTTTATCTAAAAAAGTGCCTCAGATATTATTGCAGAAATTTAAAGTAATTTAACACCTTCATCATCAACCCGTAAATGTCAAAGGCCGGATATGGACCTCTCCCGTTGTAAAAAGGATCGGCTATAATGCTTCCCTTTGCCAAATAAGTTTTTACGTCTGGTGTAAATGGAATGATTATACCGTCTGCATGCAGCTATAATATTATGGTTTTAGCATGAATGGGTTGACTCGACCTGAGAAGAACCACGCTTTCACAGAATAATAGCGTAAAATAACAGTCTAATCTTGCTGTGTTTCGTAAGGTGAGTGAGAGAATCAGATACACTTTTTACTGGAAACGAGGCATACCATCTTAGATTTCAAGCTATCTTAGATCTCAGCCTGTTTCTCCACTGTGTATAGTAATAGTTGTATTTCACGAGTGTCCCTACGGCTGTCATTCCAAATGTTAACCATCCTTTATTTTTTTTGATTTTAAATATAGTCGTTCTTTCGGAGAAAACGAGGTGGGGCTCAATAAAAACTTGTTCTGATGTTAATAACTATTTCATAACCGTATTAACATGATTGAAAATTTGAATTAACATTTTAGTAATTTTCTATGCAGGAATGATGATGAGTTGGACGAATGTTAGTTAACGTAACGCTGTCATGTTATAGTAAAAGGTTTTTTGAAGAACAAAACTAGAAAAGATGCACTAGTAATATTCCGTAAACACGTTAATTTAACTTTAATATATACTTGTGTTGTGAGTGGTGCATGACAGTAGCCGAGTGGCGAATTTAAACCCACGATTTTTTTTCAGTTTCATAGTCCGTTACCATAATTTTACGGGAGACATGAGAGTCGCTAATTTATAACCAATGCAAGCATAAAAAACTGGCCAAGTACGTACCAATAACACAATGTAGAGGAAGGATTCCGTAGTTTCCCGTCACAATACATGAATTTAGAAGGGGTATTTTTGATAATATGAGCATATGTGCGTTCGCGATTTGACCACTATCACGACTAAAAATTGACCCAAATAGGACGATGGTAACTGAAGGACTTATTTCCAAGCAGACATATTGGGAGTAGTATTCAAAAAAGATTTAAAAAAAACTTTTCGATTTCGAAAATAATACAAACTACATCAAATTCTTCACATAGCAAGTCCATTCTATTAGTTCCTGGCAGTGCAACCTTAAGATGCCTAAGATATAGATGACCG